TTAAATTTTTCCCCCTTTCTCACCTCCCCTCTTTTTCTCCTCTCCTTCCCTCCTATCCACTTTCTCCACTTCCTTCCGTCCCGTCCTCTCCTCCCCTCCCCTCCCCTTCCCTCTCCTCCCCTCCCCTTCCTTCCCTCCCCGATGGTGGCAATGGGCGTAGGCTGCGGCTGCGGCAGCGGTGGCGCGGCGATCAATGACGCGCGGGATCCGGCAGGCGGTGGCCGTCCCCGCATGGATCCGTCGGCCGGGCGCCCTCCCCTACAGGATCCCGCTCTCCTCCCCTCACCTTCCTTTCCTCCCTAGATCCGGCAGAGGGGAGGGGCGTCAGCGGCGGTGCGGCCGAAGGGAAGCGCGGAGGCCGCCGCCGGGAGCAGCGTCCTCGGCCGCCGCGGGGAGGCCGGATCCGTCGCTGGCCGCTGTGGGGAGGCCAGATCCGTCACCGGCAACTGCAGGGAAGACGGCAGCGGGTCTCGGGCAAAGTGGCGACGACGATAGTGGTGACGGCGACGACGGTGGTGACGGCGTTTTTGATTTTTTTTTGATTTTTTATTTTCCCATGCAGGCAGTTTAAGCGCCCGCGTGCGGGTGTGTCACCCGCACGTGAAAATCGTGATTTTCACAGACACCTCGTTCCAGACGGGTGGAAGATCCACACGCAAAAACCGATTCCGACCACACGAAAAAAATCGTTAGTCTACTAGTGTTATTCCATTTTTAGTCTCTCTTGTTTACCACAAAATAAATTTAATTTAAATTTTAGCAATCATTATACCAAATTTTATAAAAGTAAGAGATAAATGCATTGACTGGGAGTAGATAAAGTGAGAGATAAGGATTCGATAGAGCAGAAGTAGTGTATGTGGAAGTGTGAAATATAAATTTATTTAGAACAGAGTAGTGTGTATATCTCTTTATAAAGAAATACTACTAGAAGTATACTAGTATATCTCTTTAGAGAAGAACTGCTAGTATAATACTTCCTCATTTTTTAATAGATGACGCCGTTGACTTTTTCTAACATATTTGACCATTCGTTTTATTCAAAAATTTTATGCAAATGTATAATATATAAATCACATTTAAAGTATTATAAGTGATAAAACAACTCATAACAAAATAAATTATAATTACGTAATATTTTTAATAAGATGAATGATCAAACATGTGAGAAAAAGTCAACAGCGTCATCTATTAAAAAACCGAAGATAGTATTGTTTTTCTCATGCTAGAAGCCGAAACGGTCGACCTTGACCGGCGACTTGCACACGTACATACTAGAGACTGACCAGATCCAAAGCTCAAAACAGAGCCCAAGTCGAAGGCCAAGTCTGCATTTCTTGGTGTAAAAAAAAAGTCTACATTTCTTCTCCACAACACTAATTTTCTTTTGTTCTTTTAGATAATATCTTGGAGTTTTATATACCCTTTGGGTGTTTGGAGGCATGCACGCTGTGACACGGACAGATCGCTGTCATCTTTTTCCCTCTCTTGTTTGGAATCTGCCGTGCGGACCTGGTCACATTCGTGGTTCGTTTTGCCCAATACAAACTTGCAATGTCGCAATCCGTCTTGACCGCTGAAGAAACCGTTTCCTTCTTTTTATCTCCCTTTTTTATCTTTTCGTTGTTGCCATGATCATTGTGGAGACTGTTTTATTGTGGGCGGTCAACATTCGGTCCATTTTACAATATTAAATACCCATGCATTGCAATCAGCTTATATTAAACCCTACAAAATAAAATAAAATTATTCCCTATCTAATCATCCTAATATATGTGGTAAAATTTTGTACGTGCATGTCGAGTTACACGGTTGCTGAACAATTGATATAAATATACATGTTGTATGAAATTCATATAGTGAACGCTCAAATATAAACCCACATGACAGTTGGTGGCAGCAGAACCACCACTACCACCAATATTTTAAAGTAGTATAGAAAATTACAATATGGATACAAAAGTGTAAATTCCAAGTGGCCACTCGCATTTTAAAGAAGGTGGTTGCATCCCTTTAGACCCGTTCCAAAGTCCGATCTGAAATGGATTAAAACGAGAAACATAATTAGCATGTGATTAGTTGAGTATTAACTATTAAAAATTTGGAATATATATATATATATATATATATATATATATATATAAAATAAAGCAACTTCTACATAGAAAATTTTCGCAAGAAACATAGCGCTAACCAGTTTTAAAAGTATGCTAATGAAAATTTAGAAAATAACAACCCGAAGCGTAGTTTAGGACGCGCACTTCGTCTGATCAAACATTTATTCATTCCAAAGAGATCAAACATTCATGTATTGTCATAGGTTTCATTTTGCCCCTTCAATGTATCTTGACTTATTGTGCTTTAAGGTTAATGTTGTACCACAGTATTTTGTTTTTGCAGTACTGTAAGGAAGTGATAGCAAGCATTTCTCTATTAGGTGTGATATATTATTATCGTACCTCATATTATTTCCCAAAAAAGTATGGTGTAACATATTACTTTTCCGTATGCTGAATATATTTTAAATAGAGTGTCGCTAGCTAGATTTCAATGATCTAAATCCTCAAAAATTTGCTTATCCTAGGATCCATGTCAAGATTTGTGTCCAACGACAGCGTGATGATGGTGGTGGCGACTGCGACACTATGTTTAGGGTCTATGTTTGGAGGTGTGTATTGCGTGACCGTGTCCGCCCACTAGGCAAAGTCCAATTCTTCTTTTTAACAATTCGGCAGTGCGATGTTCATATTGATAGAGCAGAAAAATGTAAAGTTCAGTTCCAATTTCTAATTCCAAGACGTTGGCATGCCCTCCTCCCTCTCAAGATAGCCTCTACCTTCGGTTCAAAAATAATTTCACTTTAATTTGCTCCCTTCTAATATGAATGTTATTCATTCAATATGTTTTATTTATATCTTACCTACTCACGTAAAATTGATGTTGCTAGATTTATCGTTAAACAAACTATCATAATATGCAACTCTTTTTATTTATTTTTTTTATTTTTATAGATATTGTTGGTCAAAGTAGCATATTAAAAATTGTGTCGAAGTCAAAAGTACTTATATTTTGGGACGAATGGAGTATCATAGTACAATAAACTTATATTATTATATTATATCTAATTTATTTTTTTTAAAGGACGGATGGAGTATTCTGGTTTGCTGCCGTATCTGCCATGGCGATTGAGGTGATCGATCAGTTCAGACTTCAGAGCCTCCGTATGATTGACTGGATCACTGGATCCACTCCTCCACTTTTGCCCGAATCCGTCGCAGCTGATTGCGAAACAGAAGCGCACATCGCTTTACAAGTTTACAGCTGCTTGGCACTATCTCAGCTTCGTTCTTCATCTATAAATGATCAGCTTTAGGCTGTGTTTAGTTCAGTGCAAAGTTTAAATTTTGGTTGAAATTAGAGATGATGTGACTGAAAAGTTAAAATGTTGTGTGTATGACAGGTTGATGTGATGAAAAAAGACTGAAATTTGAATCCAAACTTTAAATCTAAATACAGCCTAGTTAGTTGGTTAATACAAAGTCAGAGGTATATACGCGTGTTTTCACCTGCCCAGATGCATGGTTTCTTCTCCTGAAAAAAAATTATATTCTAGCTCTATCTGCAGGTCGAACTAGCATGAAGCAATCAAGAGTAAGTTAAATCCCGTTTGTTTAAAAGTTTGAATGATCATTTGCAGTACTAAATGAGCAGAGGAATGGAAGCATGTACTACTATATAAGTAAAGGCCAAAAGACAAGCGGGAAATTAAAGAACAATAGTACTTTATAAACAAACAAGCACCTCTCTATCCCAAGACTTGACACCATTTACCAATAAAAATTATCATGACAATCTAAGTTGGGGTTATCAAATTCTTCGTTATACATTTAACAAGCGCAAGCAAATCCTGCCATTTTCTTTTCAACGTTGATATGTGAGCGCTATGTTGGAAGCGAATCATACTACAACTATGATTTAATTATTTTCGGCCATTCCCACAACTCTACGAGACATAAAACGAGGCAAATTAATTGATTATTAATTATTACAAACATGAACACGGGCGGTCTACTTATGTTTTAATGAAACCTCTATAGAAAAGTTTTTGAAAAAGAAAAGGAACATTCAGTAATTTAGGAAGCCCGCTAACGAAAAACGGAAAAGTTGCCACTGCTAATAGCCCAAACAAACGGTGCTAGCTGCAACATAACAGCTTATAAGTTGATCATAAGTTGGTCAAATACTATTTAAAGGCCAGTTCTTTTCGTTTATGTTTATGCTTATAAACTAAAATTTGAATTTTCAACCTACAATTTAAATGTGATCGTGAGGTTTTTCTCATTATAGTTTATTTTTCAACCTTTACTTTCAAATCGCTAATAACATGTATATAAAAGTTTTATTTACGAATTATTTTTCGTTTGTTAATATGCCGTTTGGACGATGGAGTTCTTAAAAATGAACTGCATCTCATATTTAAAAATAACAGAGGTAGCACGCGGTAAACGATAAAATAAATAAAGTACTCTCTCCGTCTTAAAAAGACTGAATTTTTAGGTTTACATGTCCAACGTTTGACCGTCCATCTTATATGAAATTTTTTTATGATTAGTATTTTCATTATTGTTAGATGATAAAACATGAATAATACTTTATGCATAGCTTATCTTTTTAAATTTTTTCATAATTTTTTTAAATAAGATGAACGGGTCAAATGTTAGACACGGAAATCGTTTTTTTTTTTACGGGGGAGTATACTGATAGCTAGGAGTAACAACCAAACAGTTGGAGACAAGCACGCGGTTCGAGCGAGCGTCGTCTTTGTGGTGCAATTTCTCGGGGGACGCCAAGCCCCGCTCGGTTCACGGGCGTCTCACTGTGCGGTGGGCCCATCCCCAGCCGTCCCCTCGCGGGCCACCACTCTCTGATGCTGACAGGTGGGTCCCACCCTCTCGCCCTCTTCTCCCCTATATATACATATAGTACAAAATCCCCGTGTGCCAAACTGCCAATATTCTCTCTGCCAAACAAAAAAAAAGGAAAAAAAACCACCGCTTTTCGCAGTGCGCTTCTTCTCTCTCCCTCTCTGCTCTGCTCTTCCTGAGCTCCGCGGCAAGGAAGCTTCTGGAAGGTTCTGCGGGATGACGACGAGCAGCTGGGGTGGTGGTGGTGGTGGTGGCGGTGGCGCCGTGCGGCTGTGGTGCTGCGGCCTCCTCCTGATGCTCCTTTCAGGCGGAGGCGGGGGCGGAGGCGCCGCCGCGCAGAGGCCCCCGGCCTACAAGACCCTCTCCGGTAAGCTCTGCTGCCTCCTTCCCCGGTGGCGTGCGGGGAGAGGAGGAGGGGGAAGGGGAGGGGGAGGAAGGTTCTGGCAATCGGCCTTTGAACCTTTCCTCTTGTTTTTGTTCTGTTTCCCTTTTCTCCACGGCATTCAACGACTCTGGTTTGAATGGGTTGGGGTTGGGGTTTTTGCTTTTGAGTTGATTCGTATTATATAGGATTTCTAAGGAGCAATTCCTTTTTCCATGGCTGGAAATCATGTGAGCAGAGCAGCAACTGAGCATATGACCTGGAAATTGTTAGGAGTTTCATAATAAGTTGAGAAATCGCTGCACCGCGCCGGGTTAATTAATTGTTTCTTGTCCTTTTTATCTGCTTAATTACCGATCATTACTTACAGCTCTGTAACTGATAATTATTACCAATTAAAATTATAGTTCTTGGTGTGTTTATGGGTTCTTGCTATTGATGTGTATAGCCTGAATTGAGCAAACCATTGGGCATTTGCTATTGCAGGTAACGCGCCCATCGTCATAGCTGAAGGTGGCTTTTCAGGAGTGTTTCCTGATTCCAGCAAAAATGCCTACGTTTTTGCCTTGTCTTCTACCTCGGGTGACACCGTTTTGTGGTGCAATGTGCAACTAACCAAGGATGGTGTCGGAATTTGCCTCCGGGATTTACTTATGGACAACTGCACCAGTATAAGCCAAGCTTACCGAGCGGGAAAGAAGGCATACCTTGTCAACGGCGAAGAAAAAAAAGGATGGTTTCCTATTGACTATACCATGTCTTCGCTGCAAAGTGTTATCTGTAAGTGTCAACCTATTATTTTTTCAACTCTTCTCCAGGGTTCACCGTTTAGGACCGAAATTTCGGGTTTACCCCTGGGTCCTGGTAGTATGTGCCTCTGATGTTCAAGTTTTTTTAAAAAGAAATTCCCTTTGATCACCAAAACACATGATGGTTTTGCCTCTTAGCTCTTCACATAGACATAGGCACTATATGCTTTGACCGAACTATCACACCATTATGATATTAAAACAGTATTCATGAAGCAATGCACTATTTGGCGTACCTATCATAAAACTGCATGTGTGATGATCTTCTGTTAACTAATGACTCTGATCAACCAAGAAAACCTGTAAATGACGCATGGTAATATTTTTTTTAGGGTGACATATGGTAATTTCTGATCATTGTGTCAATTAAGAAATCTCCCTGGTCTCTTCATTATAACAGCATGGCACAAAAGATACCGAAGTCATTTAGCTCCTCCAGCCACCTTAGCAGCATCAGCTTTCACGTCATACACTGATGTGTCCAGGCCACACTGTGCAGAAATTACCATTTGTAGTTAGGTGGGATCAGTTGGTTAGATTGTGTTAATGACGAGAACTTTTAAAATGTATTTCCGCAATAGGTATTCCACACAATGTGTATTTTGGCTAAAGCACGTGTAGAATTTACTCTGATTTTGATTGGATGATGAAATTCCTCTCTTGAAAGGTGTGATGTGTTGATGTGATTTGTTGCTAACCTGGTATACTTCTGTACTCTTTTTATGCCATTGAACAGTAACACAGGCAATTTGGTCTCGCACCGACAAGTTTGATTTTGCATTCCTTCCCATTCTTCCTGTTACCAATGTGATAGATTTGGCCAAGCCATCTTCTGTTTGGCTGAATATTGAGGTTGACCTACTGCTCTTGCAACTTGAACTTGCAAAAGTTGTTGTTGCTACTTGCTAGCTGTTCATGACTTTGAGTTCCATAGAAGCTAATTTATCTTTCATTCGTGCAGCACGATATTTTCTACAGACAGCATGGTTTGAATATGACAAAATACATCCTTTCAATTCCGAAGGGTGGTTCTGTGCAGTATATCTCATCACCTGAATTGGGTTTTCTCCAAAGTATATCAGGAAGAGTTAATCGCAAAACGAAGCTAGTGTTTCGTTTTCTTGATGCAACCAGTTCTGATCCTTCTTCAAACCAAACATATGGTTCTCTGTTGAGTAATTTGACATTTATTAAGACTGTTGCCTCTGGTATAATGGTTCCCAAGGAGTACATTTGGCCAGTGACAACTAATAACTATATTCAGCCTGCCAAATCAATTGTCAGAGATGCCCACAGTGCAGGTTTAGAAATATATGCTTCTGACTTTGCAAATGATAGAATTATTCCGTATAATTACAGCTATGATCCGTTGGAAGAATATTTGCATTTTGTTGGTAGTGATAACTTCTCTGTTGATGGAGTATTATCTGAGTTCCCACTCACTGCAGCAGCGGCTATTGGTAAGATTCTATCATTATTACTCTAATTACTTATCAAAGTTGGAAAGTTCATCAGTACTCCTCTCTGTAAAAAGTTAGTGAATCTGCAAGCAAAAAAAATTACTAAGAACAAAATTTGTCAATGGATGCTTGATATTTGTTTGATAAGGAACAACACTACTTTCATAGCTTTATACCTAATAATTGGTCACCACCAAAATACTGTGGTTCGTTTGCTCTACTGAAAACTACATAAGCCGATTGGTCAAAAAATGATCATTCAATCCTTTTTCTTTTGGAAAGGAGATGATCATCTGATTTAGTTCTTTCTTTTGTAGTTAGATACTTTACATAAGATCTTGACTGCAAGTAGAAGAAGAATCTAGGATTGTTGACTCAAGTGCTTGCACATGGGAAATTTCTTTTTATCCAGGGGTTGGGTCATTGTTAGCCCAATATAACCACCACAGTTACTGATTTTCCCCTTATCCTTAATGACCAACTTTTCTTTATTTTTTTTAAACATTCTTACAGAGGAGCACAAAGTACGTCATATTGAAGTTTCATCTACAGCATGTCAGTTTTACCATTATAAAATTAGATTCTATCCTCGATATGTTTTAATTTTGTGCTTTTTGGAGGAGCACTGAAGCATTTCCCTGATTTGTAATATAGAGGAATAAATTGTAAAGTTGAATGGGTGATCATAGATAACGATGATCATTGCATCACCAGCATATTTGGCACTGTCTATCATGTAATAATATCCATAAAGCATGTTTGGTTTGGATTCTATAATAATAAAAGGCTATACAAACTTACGTCCTAACTGATTGAAGATTGGATAATTTATGCCTTTTCTGCCCATATACTAACTGATTGCCTTGTACTTCCACCAATCACAATTATGATGCTTTCTTTAATTGTTTGGTGAAGTAGAGTAATAATTAATGCATTTTAATCTCTATGTCTGCAGGTTGTTTCACTAATTTGAATGTAAGCAGTAAGACAGATCATGGTATGTTTCATTTGGGTGCCAAACCTACTGTACAGTAAGACCCATGTTGCTTGATACCCAGAAGTTCTACTTGATCTAATTGCTGTAGTGTTTCTATACAGGGAGCCCATTAATTATCTCGCACAATGGTGCTAGTGGAGACTACCCAGACTGTACGGATTTGGCTTATCAGAAAGCGGTTGATGATGGCGCCGATGTCATTGATTGTTCCATTCAGATGACCAGTGATGGAGTTCCTGTATGCATGAGTTCAATTAATCTGTTTGAGACCACGAATGTTCAGAGAACCCCTTTCAGCAATCGTGCTTCTATCTTTAAAGATATTCAGCCTACTCCAGGAATCTTCACATTCAATCTCACTTGGGCTGATATTAGCAGTAGCGATTTGAGACGTTAGTTTCTTTACCTCACACTTGCTATTTTTTTTCTATTAGAATTTATCTACTCTATCTTGGCAATTAATGTGGATGGCACAATAAATGAAGAAAAATAATCATGCATTTGATCGTTGTCTACAGCCAAGATATCTTCCCCAGAGAGTATATATTATCTTGTAAGGAACCCAGTGCACAAAAATGCGGGAAATTTCTTCAGGTTATCTGACTTTCTAACATTTGCTAAGGATAAAGATTTGTCTGGCATCATGATCATCATAAAGGTGATGCTTCGTCTTGAAGTACTTCATATTCTTGTTAATCTGATCCTTTAGCTTCAAATTTTCTACCGCTTGAATTACATATGCACTATCATCTTCCTTCTGTGGGCAAAAGTTCTTCTGAAAGTTAGCTTTCAATATTTGTAAGACAAACATGAGTTATTAACACAGCCTGTTTTCGGAAGTCTGTGGTGCCTAGTAATAATATATTTTACATTACTACCATATATATCTATATATGTATATGTAAAATTATATTTTCCTCATTCTTGTCACATATTTGGACCAATTTAAAATATTTCCGTATCAGTGGAGCCTTTTACATTGATCAAACCTTTTGTACTGCAGAATGCTGTATTTATGGCAAATTCATTAGGATTTGATGTTGTTGATTCTGTAACCAAAGCCTTAAGTGATGCTGGCTATAATAATCAAACTACCAAAGCCAAGGAGGTTATGATCCAGTCAGAAGATAGTGCTGTTCTTGTCAACCTGAAGCAGCTGGAAACCAAATACAAGCTTGTCTACACTCTCCCATCAACTATCGGGGATGCTTCTGCTTCCTCACTGGTAGATGTGAAGAAATTTGCTGATGCTGTCATTGTTGACAGGGAATCTATTTTCCCCGAGAGCCAGGGCTTTATCATGAAGGAAACAAATCTTGTGAAAGATCTCCGTTCTGCTGGGCTAGCTATCTATGCACAGGTGTTCCGGAATGAGTTTGTATCACCACCTTGGGATTTCTTTTCAGATGTAACAGTGGAAATCAATAGCTATGTCCAGTCAGTTAATATTGATGGCATCATAACTGATTTTCCGAAAACAGTCAGAAGATACAAAAGTAAGTGTCATTTTCTGTATCCAATTATCCATAAGGTTCTATTATTTCAACTCTTGCATGTCTTAGATATGATGAAAATGAAATGTTCGTTCAGCTGATCACGCCTAGTATACATTAACTCTAATGGAGGAAACAAGTACAAAAGAATAAGGAAATATCAACTTTGCAGCTCCATTTAACCACCAGCAAATTGTGTACTGACATCTTGCTAATCTAACATGGTTTTTATCACCTAGACACAATTATCCTGTGTACTGCCATCTCGCTAATCTAACATATTTTAGATAAAGCAAATATTTGTCTTGTTACTTGAATTGTGTTATGTTTTGCACAGTAATTTATCCTGGCCATATTATGGTGTCACTCACTGTTGCTGCTTGCACGCATGCTGTCCTGTTGGCAGTGAACTCCTGTACCGGTCTGGGAGTTAACATGCCTTCATACATGAATCCTGCGGAAATTGGCGGCCTAGCGCAGCTACTCAACGGCAGCCAAGCCCAGCCACCAGCTCTGGCACCAATGCCGGTACTGAACTCATCAGACGTCACTGAACCGCCGTTCCCTTCTGCCGCGCCGAAGAATGCACCTGGCGGCGCTGCCAATGGGAGCACCCCTGCACCCGGTGCGTCGCCGTCAGGCTCTCAGGCCGCTGCTGTCATGAGAGCCGGCATTCTACCGATGGTGACGGCGCTCTTCGCGTCTCTGCTCATCTGAGCTGACATCCTCAGTTGAAGCTGTGTAATTGGTTGTTCAGAGTTCAGTTATCACACTTTCCATTGGATTGGGAAAGCTATTTATTGTCTGTCAATGCTGTGCTGCTAGGAATCCAGTAGCTGTTTTGGTAGGGAAACATCTGAATATCCGTTTCTTCCTGCTGTATAAATCTGTTTATAGGACAAAGGCTACAAATATATTCTAGCAAGCACTGAACTACTGAATGAATGAAGCCGTAAGTGTAACTAGTAGTGTACATTGCTGACTGAGCTGGAAGCTTCAGTGTAATGTTGTAATTAATCTCATCTCCTGTCTGAAGAGATGCATTTTGTATGTGTTCAGAGGTGCAGGATTTCCTTTGAACTTACTAGACGTGGCCCTAATTTTGTTTTAACTGAATAAATGTGGGTGAAATCTGTAGCATGAGATCACAATCTTGTCTCTCTCAAATTCTCTCTGAAATTATCTCAGGATTATTGGTTCTGAGCCAGATGGTGGGGGAAATAAAGGAGAAAACGTCCTCACCTCATCAGGGTCGTTTCGACGAGCATCAACAGCGAGCCTCTCGCCGGAGACGACGACGGCGCCGCCGCCGCCGCCGCCACAGGAGAATCTGGTCGAGAAGGCCAAGCGGGGCGGAAGCATCTGGAACATTCTAGAAGGCCGGCCTCCTCCTGCTTCACGCTCTAATAGTCTATAACCCCGTGATTCCGTGGTTTGGGCCTTCGCGCCCCTGGCTTCCGAGAGCGCCGCGGGGGAGGAAGTTTAATACCATACCAGAAACCGAGCGAGGGTTTCTTCAGCTTATATAAGCACAGGCTGTGGCGCTTCGGCCGTACCCGACGGGTTTTTACTTATTAGAAGCTAATAATGTTCTTACTCATCCTTAGCTCTTGCAGATATGCCTCTGGAGGCTTTTTTTTAGTGCCCTTGCACCTTCTGAAATCTTACGTTTAGGTCCTTATATCTAGAGATGGCAATGGGAACCCATAACCCGATACCCGACGGGTTTTTACTCTATTAGGAGCTAATCGTGTTCTAACTCTTATACTAATGGGTTTACTGATGGGCGAAAACTCTTAACCATTGGGTACGTGGATATGGGTCCGTTCTTTACCACCCGTACCCACCAACCCGTGGGTGAAAAAAACTCGTTGATTGAGCCTAAAACTATGAGGAATATAAGTCTCAATGACTACTAAATCATAGCATAAAACTCATTTCACATCTTAAATATTGTTCTAGTCTAGTTATATGACATTGTTATTAGATTTCTTGATTATGTAATATGGTTGTATAATTTTTTTTACTCGCCTTTGAACGGTAATGTTAATAGCATTGCTGCTAGAGAAAATATTGATGGTTTACAACTCTAATATGGCTAATTACAGTACAAAACTATAAATGCTACAAGTCAATTATATGGGTATGGATACCCGTTACCCGCATGGGTGTGAGTGTGGATATGGGGACGATTTTGTACCCGTGACGGGTGTGGGTATTTAAGTGGGGATATTTAGACATTACGAGTGTGGGTATGGGGCAAGGGAACCCGATGGGTATGCACCCGTTACCATCTCTACTTATATCTCTTGGTCCCTGGAGGTATTTTTTTACTAATTTACGTGCTGGTCCTTAGCTCTTGCAGATATGCCCTTGGAGGCATTTTTTTGTGCCCTTGCACCTTCTGAAATCTTACGTTTAGGTCCTTCTATCTCTTCCATTCTTTTAACATATACCATCTAGTTACCTTTTTAATCTTTTACTTGTAAGCTTTGGCCCCTCGCAACATTTTGTTCTTCACATATATCCTTCTGGCATCTAACAATCTTTCAAATAAACCCTTTCATCTTTTATATCTCAGGGTCGTAGCTACAACCGGTTTAACTTGTATGAATTAGTCCAGTTATTTGGCGATGGTTTGTGAACTAGCCACGAGGAGCATACAGCCTGTACGTATGGCCTTGATGACCAAAATATATCTGTAGAAAATGTAAAATTATAGTACAGTTGCACGCCATTCTTCCAGCCAAGCATTTAATAAAATATCACCGTTAATTGTCCTTCAATGGAAGCTGGGGATATCTCAATTTATCACAAAAATAATCAAATGCGAAAATATCCATATCAAATAGTATGAGGTAGGTGTTGACGCGAAAAACACGCACTGGCCTGAGAGATCTGCTTAACTCTGCTTAACTCTGCAGGTCCAAAGAATTGCCTTTGGGTTCTGAGCGTGCCAGCTGGTTTGATCCTGCAACCAACAAGATAGAAAAAAGGGCAAAGAGTTAAATCCATCAACGATAGGGGATTGACAGGATTGCCAATGACGTATCGTCAGAGGCCATGCCGATGTAACTTGCGTCAGATCGACAGAGGCAGATGAAAACTTGGAGATTGTTTGGTGTACTCGATCGGCTGTAGATGTTAGCGATACGTAATCCATACAATGGGATACGCTTAGATCGAGTGATTGGGATAGATCGGTAGCTGCACTGAGACAGTATAAATCACTCCATATCTAAATGTGCCCCAAAGCAAGGATTATGCATGCTCATAGCATAGCCGATAGGACAAACCTAACTTGCATCGGCTAATACTCCAATACTGCCTTATACCAAGATATCAGCACAGATGAAATATGTAAAACTGAAACCAATCTAGCAAGCAGGATGAACCTAGCAGATTAATAGGAAGCTTAATATACTTTAAATAGATGAGATCTTGATATAAGAGGCATATTTAGACTATCCAGAACCAGATAAGGAAGCAAGACGACTAAATCAGGTAAGGTCGGCTAAAACTCCGATGCTATCTCTATTAGCAATCAAAGAAGGAACTAGATAAAACGTTTCAAGACAGTACTTAACAGATCGAACCTAACCGATGTAGCATTAAGCGTGGAAAGAAACATAACGATGTAGCATTAAGCGTGGAAAGAAACATAAGATCTAATCAAATCGATGAAAACCCATTCAAGATTTTAGATACACCGCATAGTCTAGCTTGATATCGAAGCCTAAGCTTATCGGCCGTTTTCGATGATAGAGGCTAGCCGATGAAGCTTAAATGACGAGATCAATCTAGATTATGCGGTATATATGATAACTCGGTGGTTTACGTAGGCAGGATTAGAGTGTCATGAATATGTAAGCACTAATCCCGAGAACGCAAGCCGCCATAACAAGCTTTACCTCTTCGTCGGAGATCGAACCCGATGCAGCCCAACTCGAAAGCAAAAACTCGAAACAATAAAAATAGAAAAGGGTGGTGATGCGCTGAAGTATATTGAACTGTCGTCCTTTGATTATTTGGTGTCGGGTCATATTTATACCCAAAGTACATAATATGTCCTTACTGGACACAGCTCTTTATATCTAACACAATTTAAAATACGAATGAGTCCTTCAGGTGGACCCTTACCAAAATATCTCTAAGGAAACTAGAAAATGTCCTAATTAATAGATACAATTGCCCTTTCTAAGACTCCAATCCTTGCGTGGCAATAGCTATGAAGTGCTTCAACCAATCCGATGACGGACGTGGGACCATCTTTCCCGAGACTGGTTGCATTGGCTTACCTTCGTCGGATCTGGCGCTTTGCTGATATGTGGCAGTCGATACCGCCTATAGCCGATGCTGCTCGTAACCTATACGTATTCTGCTTTCTCGAACAGGATTTCTCCAAATGGGCTTCGTTTCTAACTTCGAATCCAGCTCATGGTATTACCAAATTTGGTCGTTAACAGTAGGTTAACTGGAAACGTATCTTATGCATAGAAGCCTTTGCGCGTACACACTGTGCACACCAACTACCAATTTTCATAAAAAAATTCTAATAAAAATTGGACATGTACTTTCAATAGTATTATATCTATGTGTAAAGTTTTATCTTCAAATTTACTATATATAAAGGGTAAAAAAAGAAAAAAAATTCTAACACATTTATACTCTTAAATCTATCAGAATTTTTATATTTTGTATTTTAACTGTAACAAGAAAAATAAAAATTCTGACATATAAGAGAAGATCATGGAGACACCAAGAATTCTACGGAATTCCTATGGAATGACTGGCCGAAGAAAAGAAGATATTGGAGGAAAATTAACACGCCGTAGGTTTAACCCGACGGAAACTTTCTTTGAGTCCTCCATGTCTCTGTACGTAAATTTATACTATGTCTTTCACGTGGCTAAAATATCCTTTCATTCAATTTTTCTTATATTTTTCAACCCCTGTTTTATATTCTCGTGTTTTCTCAACCCTGTAATTCAGAGAGAGCCTAAGGGCATCTACAATATAAGCCATATCAAGGGTGTCATTACTAACTGAAGCCACTCTTAGAGACACCCATCTCTCAATGAGGGATACTCGCAGCTGGGCTTTCAAAATATCAAGTAACCGAGAGGTACTCCAGCTTACGAGATACCCCAACCCACGTAACCACGATTATGTATTTCCTTCTCTATTCCTAGCCCACCGAGCACCCACCAGCTTCTCCCTTTCTCTTCTCTTTTCTTCGCCGCTTTGATCCCATCGCCGTGATCGCCGCTTCTTGATCCTCTGCCTCCTCGCCCTCCGCAGTAGTCGCAACCACCGCCTCCCTCCTCACCCTCCGCAGAAGTAGCCGTCGTCGCTGCCTCCCTCCTCGCCCTCCCGGGCACCACTGCTTCCTCCCTCCTCGTCCTCCCTAGTGGCTGACTCCATCTCTCTATCCCACTGTCGCCGCTCTCGCCCTCTCTCCCGGCAGCCGCCGCCGTTCTTACTCTCTCTCTCTCGTTGGCGCTCTGCCCCTCTCTATCCCGTCGGTCATTATCGCCTCTTTCTCCTGCCCTTTCCCTCTCTCTCCCACCGCCACCGCTCGCCTCTCTCTCGCTCTCTATCCCCTTGGCCGTTGCCGCTTTCTCCCGCTGCTCGTTGCTGTCCACCTAGCTAGCTAGCAGCCGGATCCACTCTCTCACGTCCTTCCTCTCCCGCCGCCTCTCTCCCTCTTTGCACGGCGAGCGGCACGCGGGGCGTGGTGGCGACGGCGCGATGGTTGCTGCATCCCCTCTCCCTCCGCCAGTCACCGCCTCACTCTCCCTCCGTGGCTGGTCAGGAGGCCAGATCCGGTCGGCCGTGCTGTCCCTAGGTCGTCGTCGTCGCGAATCCGTCTTTGCGGGGCTGCCAACGGCTCCTCCACCACCTCGCTGCCTCGCACCATCGCTGATGAGCAGGGGAGACGGAGAGAAGACGAGCGCGATGACACCAAGGAGGAGGGAGCAGCAGTGGAGATGAGGGTGGAACTGAAAAAACGGGGGGAGGGGAGAGCGGTGTCCACAGGCTCTTTACCCGGCCATGGCCGACCCAGCGTAGCTCCTCGCCTGGTCCCCTAGCCGAGGAGCTCGTAGAGCCGCGTCCCTTGTAGAGCAGACACGCGTCTCTGCCGAGG